ATGAACCAGGCAAACGTAGGAGCATACTGCCAGGCGTAGTAAAACAGGAGGAAGGGCTGCTGTGCAATCCACATCTCCTTGACACCATTGGCGATTCCCACTAGCATTAAATGCACACAGCGACTTGTTGGCATTTTGTGTTCCTGGCTTCCAACTGATGCCACAGGCTTTACGTAATGGAAGGAAAAATGGTTACTAAAAGCAAACGTTGTCAAAAAGCACTTATGTCACAAATGTGAAATCGCAACAGCAAATAAAATGCATTACCTTGTTTAGCTCCTCTGTGAAGACGTTGCTGATAATCTGTGATTGGACTGGCCCTGGGCACACCATGCTAATTAGTATCTTTGGATAATCAGTCAGCTCAGGTCGAAGGGCATTGAAAAAACCCTGTGGAAAATACAGCAACACCACTTACCCAGTTGGGACCGGTAATAGTTTTTTTTCCCCTTCCTTTGTTCCCCATATATAACTAATGCTAAGTTTAGACGAGATGCAGAAACATTCAATTACATTAAATGAGTTAAATTCAAACCACAGAGTCATGAGAAATCGCATCACCTGAAGAGCATGCTTGGTGGCACAGTATCCTGTTGCAAGAGGCGCCCCGGCGAGGCCGACTAGGCTGCTGACAGTCACGATGCTCCCCCTGCCTCGCTGCGTCATGTGAGGCAGCACCTGCTTGGTTAGAGAGACCGTACCTAAGAAGTTGAGCTCCATCAAGGCCTGGCACACATCCACGCTGGTTTCCAAGAACAGAGAGCGCTGACTTCGACCGCCATTGTTAATGAGGATATCAATCTGATGAGGGATGAAAAAATAAGATAGGATAAAAAAAGTGCAGAAAGATGACGTGACTTGAAAAGTTATCAATCTACAATCTGGTGAAATAGAATTTTAATTGGGTCATTGTTTGATTCCTGGTTTAAAACCAGCATCTTTTAAATAAGTTGCAGGCGTCAGGAAATATTAATGTGGTAATGAAACTAAGAACTAAGCCTTACATTCCCAAAGTAGCGAATAACTGTTTTTGTTCTTTCCTCGTGTGATGTCCTCTCCAGCAAATCAAGGGGAAGAACAAGAACATCGTCATCCTTAAGGTTGGAGGTCTCTTGAAAATAAAAGAATAAAAATGATTCAGCTGATCACAAGCAAGTAACACTGAACTGAAATCAAGCTAATGCCCAGTTGCAACCGAACTGACTGAAAAGGTAAAAAGTTAAAGCACGGATGTTGAATACATAACAACATCATTTTAATTTATCTTACCTAAGCAATGGCGTTTCACTCTGTGTAGCTCATCCTCACGCCGGGCAGACAGGATGAGACGTGAGCCGCACTTTGCCAGCTGGTAGGCCAGCTCTTCTCCAATACCACTGGATGCTCCAGTGATCCACACCACCAGCCCTTTCAGCTTCCTCTCTGGTTGACACAAACCACAACAGTCAACAAAGCGAATTTCTTTTACGACACTTAGCAGTTAGCAACAGAGGAGTCATAAAGATTGCCTGATTTTGTTTTAACTGAATACGGCACTCTTATTGTATGCTCTTACTTTCACCAAAATTATTATTACTTATTTTATCTTTTTCACAGAAGACTCTTGAACTCTTGGATAGTTTTGCCTTTAGTACTTTTGTTGACTACCTGTGGTCACTGTTCAGAAAATGTTCCAGTGCACTAAAATGGAAGACTTTTGACATTCATACAGAGAAATTATTAAGTGCATATTGTAACGTTATACGGAATTTGTTGTATGATTACATGTCTATATAATATAAGAAGCTGTGTGTTCTGCTGAGGCTCACATCAGAGTAAAGTTAGCATGGCACACATTATCTTCTAAACACAAATGACGTTTTGCCGTTAAAGAGTTCAGAGGTCAATCTGAGTTGAAGACGAAGCCTTATAAAATCAAGTTATTGTTCTTTGACAGTTCAACCGATCAATCACAAACAGAGAGGTTACCCGTGCTTGTCCCCTCATAGGACGGATTCCCTTCGTTATAAACAAAAAGGTGAAGACAACATGTGGTGTGTTTCGTTTGACTCACCTGGCTTGTGCCCCGCTAGACTTGCCCAGAGGAGAGTGAAGTCTGCATCCGCGAAAAGGAAGCAGAGTAAATGGATGAGTAAATAAACTGGTATAAACCAGCTGAGAGCAGACACAATCCAGCAGTCCATTTGGTGGAAGCAAGTGGGCTACAGTACACGCGTATACTTTTAAAGTGGCTTGTCACTACCCGATCCGTACCGGAAATCCGATCGGTACCACGCATGTGCGAACGGTGTCTACTTACGGTCGAAGCATTTTAAGATAGTTACAGGTCAGAGTATCTGTTAAGATGTTAAGAATAATAAGTATCTCTTAAAATGTTTGCAATAATGAAGCAGTAACCCTAACCCCATAGCTACAACCAAAACTAAGTTAAAGGATGTCTACGTCACTTCCGCTTTATTTTCAAAATTAAATCTTCAGAAATAAACGTGCTTCTTCCTATCTATCGCTCTTCTCCAGGTTGCATAACAGTATAACAGTTATCTTTTGCAATAACGAACTTGAACCACAGCTTTTACACAGTGTCCTGCAGAACCCTGCGAGTCTCCAAGAAAAACAAACAAAAAACCCCCAAACCCAGCCCTGAGTTTAGATGAGAGAGGATTTAATGGAACAGAATCAGACTCACAATACTTTACTAATCCCTGAGGAAATTATGTGGTCACAGTTGCTCCAAGACAGTAAGATATGTAAGTATAGTATGGCAGTAAGTAAGATGAGGGGATATATTTCAGTAATACAAGCAAACACACGTTTTCCCAGTATGAGGCATTAGCGATATGCAGTTTTGCATGTTGTATTTCATTTTAAAGTAACCTATATCCATCTATTATCTGTTATTATTATTAAAATAACCTATATCCCCCCGGTCATTGGTTTATGCAAGCCTGATGCAGGACGGATTTGCATAGTATAAAAACTGTGATCTTGACTAGTTTAACTAACTGAGGACAGTGTTATTTTCATGTTGGATTTAATGGGTTTAGAAACACTCCAAACTGAAAAACATGCATGTGGTGGTTATTTTACTGGCCGAGTGCAGTTAGACACAAGGCACTTAATTTTGATTGCTTAGCACACTGGACACATTTTGGCTCATGGATGTCTAGTGTAAATGTAATACATTTTAACTCATTTTCATAACATATCTTTTAATTTTTCTTTAAATAATATCTCATTTTTACCAAACAGACCCTTCAGAGTAAATGGATCATGACATGTTACATTGATTCATGTATTGCTCAGTTCCTCTTGATTACATCTTAATTTTCGAGACCCCTGCATCCATGTGAATACCATGCTCATTTAAAGAACTGTCAACCATTAAAGCTACAGCGATGATAAGGGAGTCTAGCAACTCAGCAAGGTTAAAGGGCATTTAAGATAAGATACTACAGTATTCATCCCAGAAGGGAAATTATGCTAGAGCAGCTGTAACCTAAGACAGAATTGCTTAAATTAAATAGAATAGCTCAGTATGACATAATACAACATGACAAAACAAAAATAGCTATAAGGTAAAATACTCAAGAATATAAATTTACATGAAAATAAAAATGTCAAACAATATAAAATGAATGAGCTTAAAAAACAAAAATCAGAAAATAAAATAACAAATGACATTTAAAAAGCTGATTATAATATAACAAGGAACTCAGTAATAAAAAAAAGCAAACAAACAAAGTAAATATTGGTATTGTGTTATGATATATTGAAAAGACTTCCTGTTGGGACAGCAAAGTCAATTCAATCTATTAGAGAAAGTTCTCCCCTAACTGTCCACAGTAAAAATGGTGCAGATGGTGGTCATCTTCTACCCACAGGCTTTTGGATACTGGGTTTGAAAGCCTGTTACAGAAGAGCGAGCAATGCCACACACAACCTCTGTGTCATCTCATTTAACTTTTATGAGACTTGGCCTAAAGATCCTCTGTTACAAATATACCCAGCAAAAACTTGTATGATACAGTATGACAGTGACTGACCTCAAAGAAACACTCGGTGAATCAGACTAGTTTATGTTTCTACAGCAGCAAAATAAAACTATCGTGGGAAGTTTTATGGGAATGTTTTGTTTGTAGATGCCAGTTGCCATAAAGTTTCGGTTCTTACGTTTTAGATACTACATATAAAACAAAATAATGAATTGCAGATAAAATATTATGTAATATATAATCCCAGAAACATGTACATCTAAATGATTGCTAAATGTCAATGAAAAATAAACTTTTTCACAGGAATCATCTGAAAAGTAGAACTCATTTATTTTGTGGTTGCACATATTATAGGTTATAAATTTCCTCGAAAATTCTTTGGAACAACAAATCAAATAAGAAAAAGATTTCACTCATTTTTATGATTACATATATTGTAACCTAACTTTTTGGACAGACCTCACGAATTATACTTAACAGCTAAACATAACAATTTATGCATGCATGTTAACCTTTATAATTGTTTATAATTTGCTGTAGGAATGTGGTGGAAACCTTCCAGTTGTAAATTATTATAATTAATTAAATAATTAAATAAATAAATAAATAAATAAATAAATAAAGCAAGCGATTCAAGTGCATAAACACACCTATAATTCGACCTATTGGTGGCGACGGAGAACATGGCGGGGGAGGGGGGTAAAATAAAATAAATTAAAATTAATAAAAACAAAAATCAAGCAATGGTCAACATTAACTGTGCCACATTTCCCTTCTACAGACTGAAATTGCACAAGAAGCAGGAATTTGTGCAATAACGACATATTTTGACAGAAGCACTTATGCAGCACGTTTGCAGGATTGCACTGAATTAATTGTCATTTTGTACGGGCTTGTTTATATCAGATTTGGAAGCCCGTGTTGTGGTATACATGCTTTGCGAGCATGTTTCTATGTAGCAGCTGGAGCAGCCAGCCACAGATCTTTAGGAATGATGTCATGTTTTCGAATGCGCAACCTGCAACATCCGGGTCCTGTCTCCGTCGCTCCGTGCCGCTCAGGCTAACGTTAGCTAGCAAGTTGTCAGGCTGTCAAGTGGAGAGGCTGGGGCAGACGTTTCAGCTTCCCTTCCCCTGGCTTGGCCGCATAAACCACCGGCCACCCCCCAAAAAGCCACGAGAAAATCCGTTTGAATATTCTCGCCAGCTGAGATAATGTAATGCATCACGGACGTACGCAAAGAGGGATCTCCGCACCTACACAATTTATATGCACCGAATCTTGAGTGACGATTGCTCGCTGCTAACTGGCTAGCTACCTTAGCTAAACCGCCGTATACCCCCTAGTTTCGTCGGTGTACCCTCTCTGGTGCGAACTGCGGCCAGTCGGTCATCGTCCCTGTTGTATCTTCCGCTGGTGTCGACTAGTATTTTGGTATTTGGTAAGTCATTAAATGTTTACTTTGTAGCCAGCAGCTGTTGAGGAATATTGGGCAGCCGTAGTTCTTAGCTGTGTTAGCATGTAGCAATTAGCAAGGCCAAGGGCTTTGCCTGCCTCAATATTATATTAGCGCACCACGGCAGGGAGGGAGGCCTGTCAGTTAGCTGTGAGGGACAAGGGTCAAGGCCCGTAAGTAGGCTAGGCTGTTTGTTTATTTCAGTTGTAGTCGGTACTGGCTGCAGAGCAAAGTTTCTCACTAAACCCAGCAGCATTATTGAGCCTTAATAAACGTGACTATGGTGTAAAGTAGTTCATTACAGCGTTAGAGTTGGTTTTGACCGATTTTATGTCTTGTGATGGTTATCGAGTCTGCTAGCTGGGGCTAGCGCTACAGGCGTGTAGCTGCAACTCTTTACTACCCCAGGTAGCTAGTATGGTGAAGTGGTCTGCATTGCGGAGGTCACAGTGGTTTAGTGGACTATCAAAATGAAAGTAAATAACTTAAAACGTTTCGTTACATTTATTGGTAAACTCTAGACAGCCACTGGCCTGAGGGCGTTTCAGTCTGATCCACACCAGCAGTGTTCCTAATGTGTGGCCAAAATGTGCACACAAGTCTACTATTTTTAGACTAGTAGGGGCTGAACTCAACTCCAAGATGTTAATCTTTTGCCACAAATGGATCTAAGACGTGCTGTTAGTTTATTGATAGAATTGGTGCCTCTTTCTGGTTATTTCTTAGAAAACTATTTTTCAGAAAATTTGTCAGATTTGTACTCGTTTTATGTTTTCACATTGTCATAATTAGACAACATGTATTGTTTTAGTTTCCAAATTGGGGCTTTGATTGGACTGCACTTTCTTAATCAACGAATTTGTCATTTCTTTTGTGTTACAGGCTTTTAAAGGGACACAATGGGTGCATTTCTGGACAAACCAAAGATGGAAAAGTATAATTCCCATGGTGAAGGTAACAACCTGAGGTATGGGCTGAGCAGCATGCAGGGTTGGAGGGTTGAGATGGAGGATGCACACACAGCGGTAATTGGTCTGTCTCATGGTCTCGACCTGTGGTCATTCTTCGCTGTTTATGATGGGCATGCTGGCTCTCAGGTGGCCAAGTACTGCTGTGAGCACCTGCTGGAGCACATCACCAGCAACTCAGACTTCCAGAGTGCTCTTCAGGATGACCCCTGTGTGGACAGCGTGAAGAATGGTATCCGCACTGGGTTCTTGCAGATTGACGAACACATGCGAACCATCTCCGAGAAGAAGCACGGTGTGGACAGAAGTGGCTCCACTGCAGTGGGGGTAATGATTTCTCCAAGCCATATCTACTTCATCAACTGCGGCGACTCGCGTGGGCTCCTCAGCCGGGGTGGCACTGTGCACTTCTTCACACAGGATCACAAACCTAGCAACCCACTGGAAAAGGAAAGGATCCAGAACGCCGGTGGTTCAGTCATGATCCAGCGAGTTAATGGGTCCCTAGCAGTGTCGCGTGCTCTGGGAGACTTCGACTACAAATGCGTGCATGGAAAAGGCCCGACAGAGCAGCTTGTTTCTCCGGAGCCTGAAGTTTATGCAATAGAGAGAAGCGAGGGGGAAGATGAATTCATTATATTAGCTTGTGATGGCATCTGGGATGTCATGGCCAATGAAGAACTGTGTGACTTTGTGAGGTCAAGGCTAGAGGTTACGGATGATCTTGAAAAAGTCAGCAATGAAATTGTTGACACCTGCTTGTACAAGGTATACCATCAACAAACCCTCTTCTGACACTTTGTTGAACTGTTTGGTACAATGGTTGATTTACATAAATTCTTGTTTGTTATCTTTGATTTCTTTGCAGGGAAGCCGGGACAATATGAGTGTTGTGCTAGTCTGCTTTCCTGGGGCCCCAAAGGTATCTTCAGAAGCAGTGAAACGAGAAGCTGAGCTGGACAAATATCTGGAGGCCAGAGTAGAAGGTAGTAAAAGCACTTTTGGTTGACATTATTATAGAGTAAAACATCAAGTTTACAAATGCTCATATATCTTACTTATATTTAGAGGCAATGAAAAATGCAAAATCAAAGAGCAAAAACGGGAAGTGTTTTGTTTGTAATGTCTGTAGATTGGGTCTTAAATATCTGATATATTTAAGGTAGATATTTGAATCATACTGTATAATGAAGCATTGAAACACCAAATGAAGGACTTCAAATTCATTGATTACAGTGAGACTGCCATTGACATCTTAAGTTTATTTGCGCATCTTGCACATGTATCAATAAAACAATATCTTACTAGTGATGTCAAGTCTCTCAAATGCTGCCAGTGATCATCATTTCCTTTTTACCCCCTAATGTTCTGGAAGTATTCAACCTTTAGATTAAAAAAACAAAAACAAAACCCCCCCAAAAAACTTTTAAGTGTAAAACAGGGTGTGAAACTTCATGAAGGGTGTTGCTGACAGGTAAAGTAAGTTTTTCCCAGGCAAGATTTAAATTAACAGCCTGGTTTTCAACTGAAGATATTTTGCATGTTAAGCAGATGCTTTAACCACTACACTATGGAGAAACAAATGCATTTTTGAAAAGTTGGAAGTGGTGGAGGTTCATCTGATAATAGTTTAGTAAGTGATTTATGGTGTCCATAAAGATGATATCAAAAGGGCAACTATCAGTCCCTGTCTTTTTGCATCCACTACGGGGTGTTTGTGTGTGCAGATGGGGTCGAACAGAGTCAAAGGTGGCAGTGGCCTTGGTTGGCAACAGGGAGACTGTTGCCTGATACTTAAAACATACCAGGGGAGGAATTCTAAAATACCTGTAGTGCAAAGCACCTGCAGGAAACGGTAATCCAGCCATAGGATCAACTATGGAAACCTTGGGACTTTTACTAACTTTGAAATAGATTGTTGACTGAGGGCTCTCATTGTGTTGCCTTGACTATAAACTCAGTAATAACCTTGAGCTTTTAGACAGGGGTTAAAAATGCACAGCCACAAATTAAATAGGAGCGTCTGATTTATAACAAAGACAATAAAAAAAGATGAGTTTTGCAGTGAAAACAAATGCAAAAGAATAGTCAGTTTATCCAGTTATTTTGTTGTCACTGTCGGTGAAATTGCAGTCGAGATTCAAATTTGGTCCCAGTCCACCAATGTAGTATCCCAGTGGCAAGTAAAGGTAAAAAAACAGGCAAGTGCTGCCAGCTACACCATCACCATTGGTGTAGCACCTGTTGGCATGATTCCTGCCTGGGCTTATGTTGTTCTGTTTGAGCATCAGTTAATGCTTCATTACTATTTTGTAGAATTAAAAAAAAAAAGAAAAGTAGCAATTGCTGGTTGAGGTTATACCTGTTGTTGCGTCCCATTCATCGCGCAGGAACGGGTATAATAATAATAATAATAATAATAATAAAACCTGGATTTTAGGAAAATGCCTTGTACTTATTTCTTCTTCACTTTCCGGGCTACTGCCTAAAGGTTCTGTGAAAAGAAGCTGCTTTGGGTCATATAAGAAATCCCGGTAAAGTTTTGTACTCGCTAGCATAGTTACAACAGCTTTATACATTATTTACACAGGGCTTAGTTCTTCTCAACCTGACTAACCACTCAGCTAAAAAGGAACAAAAAAGGATAGATGTCTTTATCTTTTTTGTTTCACCTCCTGTTTTATCTGTCTTTGTTGCCTCCCCTGCTTTTCTGTGTTGTCTTGTGGCTTAGCAGCTGCATGTAGAGAAATTTTAGATGCGCTTAAAGCAAAACAAACTCCAAAGTAAATATCGTTACTGCCCATGTTACCAAATTTTAATGATAGCCTTTCAGTTTTAGATGGTAGAATGAACTTGTCTGGTTGCCAGTTGTTATATCTCTAATTAATACAGTGGGGCAAAAAAGAATGTGAAAAAAAAATCCATGAATTCACATGGTAGGATTTGTAAAGAATTTATTCGTAAATTAGGGTGGAAAATAAGTATTTGGTCACCTCAAACAAGGAAAATCTCTGGCTCTCACAGACCTGTAACGTCTTCTGTAAGAAGCTTTTCTGTCCCCCACTCGTTACCTGTATGAATGGCACCTGTTTGAAGGTGGAGGAAGAAGAATACTGAGTTGCATCCCAAGAACACCATACCTACTGTGAAGCATGGGGGTGGAAACATCATGCTATGGGGCTGTTTTTCTGCCAAGGGACAGGACGACTGATCAGTGTTAAGGACAGAATGAATGGGGCCATGTATCGTGAGATTTTGAGCCAAAACCTCCTTCCATCAGTGAGAACTTTGAAGCTGAAACGAGGCTGGGTCTTCCAACATGACAATGATCCAAAACACACCGCCCGGGCAACAAAGGAGTGGCTCCGTAAGAAGCATTTGAAAGTCCTGGAGTGGCCTAGCCAGTCTCCAGACCTCAACCCCATAGAAAATCTGTGGCGGGAGTTGAAAGTCCGTGTTGCTCGGCGACAGCCCCAAAACATCACTGCTCTCGAGAAGATCTGCATGGAGGAATGGGCCAAAAATACCAGCTACTGTGTGTGCAAACCTGGTAAAGACCTATAGTAAACATTTGACCTCTGTTATTGCCAACAAAGGTTATGTTACAAAGTATTGAGTTGTATTTTTGTTATTGACCAAATACTTATTTTCCACCCTGATTTACGAATAAATTCTTTACAAATCCTACCATGTGGATTCATGGATTTTTTTTTTTCACATTCTGTCTCTCACAGTTGAAGTGTACCTCTGGTGCAAATTACTGACCTCTGTCATCATTTTAGGTGGGGGAACTTGCACAATCGGTGGCTGACTAAATACTTTTTTGCCCCACTGTATATCTTAACATGACGTAACTTTGTATTTCTGAAGAGTTACTTACATAGCTGTTACATTTGCTCCTTAAACAAAATTGACTGTGAATTCCTATAAGATGCTCATAAAGTCCAGGGCCAGTAATAATAAAAGATGATTGTCTTTTGTGGTTGATACCCTAGTAATGTCATTAACAGCAGAAGGCAGAGACAAACATAATTTATATTATATTATATTTATATTTTGTGCAAAGCTTAGGCTGAATGTAATAGATGAAAGTAGGCTTATTAAATTTTTTTCTACGCTTACTATTAAAAATAAGCATCAAAGTTAGCAATATTTTATTTAGTTGGGATGACAGTTTTGTGGCCTCTGTGTTACATCAGGGAAGAAGTATTACTATGACAAAGCTTTTATTTTACATATATTCACACTTAAACAGCTGTGATTTGGTCTAAATTGGACAATATTAATCTTGTTAGTTTGTTATCCTCCTTGTACACATGGATATATAATATTTTAATTGCTCATATCAATTGTGTATTTTTAGAAGTATTCTGGTGTTGTTTAAACAGAGCTGTAATCTAATCAAATTGTGTTTTCCAACAGAGATAATCAAAAAGCATGGGGATGAAGGTGTCCCGGATTTGGTCCATGTGATGCGGACGTTAGCATCTGAGAGCATCCCTAACCTTCCTCCTGGTGGGGAGCTGGCGAGCAAGTAAGTGATATTTGTGGTTAGAATGGAAACTATGCTATTGTGACACTGGGTGTCATATGTATATATTTTTTCATTTTGAATGAAAACTAGCATTGATTTTTTTTTGCCTTCCCCCTCAGACGAAGTGTTATTGAAGCAGTGTACAACAAACTTATCCCGTATCGAAGTGATGACACAGTAAGTATTTTGCTTTAACTTCCTGCAGATGTGCTTTCTTTGAAGTATGCATGCTTTTGTTTTCTTTAAGCACACTTGTACTAATCCCATGCATGCTATAAATATTCAGAAAGGTAAAACAATGATATTGCCAAGAGATCTTTTTCAAAATGCAGTCAGGGGAGAAAAAAATATGGATTGACTCAAGCAGTTCAGACAATTGTAATCAATGTTTATCTTAACTAAAACCATGAGCTAATTTCACCAATTAATGCAACTGAACTAAAAAAGAAGTCACTAATAAGTGTGGCATAAAAATGGTCCTCTTCAAACTGATTCAAAATGAACATTTCTCATAAGTCCTTTTCATACAAACAGGACTCAGAGCTTTTGCCCCTGTCCACTCAGATATTGTGCCTTTTATCAAATAGGCTCATTGAGTCAGCTACACGTATTAGTGCACATCATCTTGTCCTTGACAGTAAAACTTGTCCTCTGGTTCCTGTATTTCATGTTTGTGTAAGGAAGGTTTTTTAATTACTTAATTTACTTTCACTGGTAATTTCTTCAAAAAAAAACAACCCTCAAACCTTTTGACTCACTTTTGCTAATTGATTAAATTGAGATTTGTTTTTCCAACCAGTTTACACAAAGATTTCTGTGTTCAGAGGGCACTAGGCTTCTTAGAAACTGTTACAGTCAACTTAAAGTGACATTCTACACTTTGTTCGTTCAGGCTTTTTTTTAAGGGAATAGATCACCTTTGGTGCTATTTGCACTTTAAGATCTTCACAACTTGTTATCATTGGAGTTGTATACAGATGTATTCAAAACTCAGGGAGGAAGATGTGAAGTTAACTTAGATTATTTACAAAATTACCCCCCACCCCCCCGGGTACCCTCAATTACGAGTTTTCGCACCTCAATATTTATCGATAAAGATGTGGTTTAACAATCATTAGAACAGGTTCCACGTCATTTTAGAAATAGGCCTGAAATATGACAGAAACCAGTCATTTCAGAGAAGAGAAACAAGGGATACCGCCAGCAATGTTCCAAGGGGGACAAAGTTGATGAAGATAAAATCTGAGGTCTGTCCTGGCCTTCCAAAGACCGTCACTCCTTGTGTTAAGCAACTCTAATGTTGCTGTGTGTTGTTAGATTTGTTTGATAGATTGTAAAATTGTAATTATACCCATTTTAATATCTTGTCTTTTTTCATGTATGCCTATACTGATCAATTGTTGAGATGCAGCTAAACTACTGTAGCACTGCAAAATTTAATATGATTGGTCATAAAGAGTGCTGCATAGAATGGATTGAGAGTGGACCAGGTTAACTGCCCCATCATTTTATAACACAATGATTATACATTTACATAATTACACTGCCAAATGGCATGCTGGGTAGGGTTAGCTGGCTGGTAGCAAAATGGTCTGCTAGCACCTGAATAAACCTCTGTCACTACAGAACAGTGAGAAAATAGAGACATGATGAACCTATGGACTAAGTGACTCTTTGGAAACCTGTGCCAGGTTCATACTGTGACACTGCCAAATCTGATGGGAAAAAATACAGTGATACTAAACTTCAGCAGTAACTATAACACATTATTTCACACTTCTAAATATAATAAAGTCATATAGGCTTACGTGGAAGGTAATTTATTATGTCTTAAAGGAAAATATGCACTGTCAGCCACTTTATTAGGTACACCTGTTAATGTAAATGTCTAATCAGTCGCATGGCTGCAACTGAGCATTTATGAAATTGCAGATCTACTGTCATCTTCCCACACAATCAAAGTTTACAGAGAATGGTCAGAGAGAAAATATGCGCACCAGTTTCTCTCGGTGAAAATGCATTGTCGATGCCAGAAATCAGAGGAGAATGAACTGATAAGAAGGTAACAGCAACTCAAAAAAACCCCCACTTAGGACAAAGGTGGCACCTCAAACCATGGCGCAGGTTTTCAACAGCAGTATGACCGCATACTGCTGTTGAAGACCTAAAGACCACACCATGTGCCACTCAAGTCAGCTAAGAATGGGTAACTGAAGCTTTAACTCACACAGGCTCACCAAAACTGGACAAAAACGTTGTCTGGTCTGATGATTCTCCTGCAACAATGTTGCAATAATCAGATGGTAGGTGAGAATTCAGCAATTTTAAAAAAACACGAAAGCAGGGATCTCTCCTGCTTTGTATCAACGATTCAGGCTGCTGCTGTTGACATAATGGTTTGGGGATATTTATTTGGCACCTTTTGGGTGCCTTAAGATGAACCCGAGCATTGTTTAAACACCACAGCCAGTTTAGCATTTTTACTGATGTCCACCGCTTTAATGACGGTAGTGTAGCCAGCAAGATAACGTATCATGTGAAAAAGCTCAAATAATCTCAAACTAGTTTCTTGAAGATGACAATCAGTTAACTGCATGCAAACAGCCTCCTGATTTATTTTTTTCTTTTTATGCTTTCATGTATTGAATTTGTTTCTGATATTCACACTGACTTTTTTTTTAATTTTTTTTTTTTAAGATAAATTTCTTATCTAGAGAGATTTTTTATTATAGCTCATGTAGCTTATGTTCTTTGTTTAAGTCATCCTTGTGGTCGTGATCCAAACTGCTAATATTCAGTGTTTTTTTTAAAACATTTATTTTTTTGTTCAACAGCCATCAGTTTGAAGCTCTCAAAAAAAAAAAATCCCGTCTCTTAATTTTTCATATACAGGCTAACTATGATTTGACTGAAAATTTTCACTGTTTGATGTCAACCTTTATGAAGACTAAGATCTGCAATTGAACATTCTAATATTATAAACTATAGCAAAATAAAATATAACAAAGTTTGAGGAGTTGAGTGTTCCATTAGGGCCTTTTAATTGAACCTGCTAGTAGTCATGTTAGAGAGTAAGGATGGTAAGGAAGTTTGTAATAATATCCTTGACAATATAGGAAAAAAAAATACAGAAGAGTGTTTTTATTGTTGCAGCAGGATCCAGGATCATGGTGCAACAATGGAGATATATAAAAAATATCTCATAGGACGCACCCTATGTGGTGGTTTTTATGAAAATTTTATGCAACATCAAGGATTTGCATGACTACATAAATACACATCAAATTCAGATAGTGTATTTTTATTATTTTATTAGTGTACACTGGAAATTGCGAGTTCAAAAATGTTATCTGTCGATGTTTCCAAAGTGCAACACATGTAAGACACATTTGAAATGTGGTTTTATAGGACTATGAATTAAAGTTTCATGTAGTTCCTAACATACATGAGAAATAATTGTTTGGGCAATGTTTACCTTTGTCCATTTAAAGTGGACTAGTTGATGAGTCAAATATTTTTCTCTTGTTTTAAATGACTAGCAGATGAGTTGCCATGGATATCGTTAGTAAAAGCAATAACAAAACTGCTTAACACTTGCACAATAACTAAAGTAACTTAACCTTGAAACCCTTTAGGAGGCTGAATAATATTGCCATATAATTGACTTGAGTTGAATTGGTTGAGCTTTTTAGTCAGCTTCTTAAAGCCCTGCTTTTCCATTGAGAAACCCTAATCAGTGAATTCCATCCATCATTTTGCTCTTCCCGTCATATAGAGTGCAAATTAGAGGGTGCTCCAGTGATTCACGGTTGAGTCATTTGTTTACTTTTCAGTCACAAATTATGAGCTGTTAGCATCTCTTCCTCAAGTACCTTCATAGCCTGGTTGTATTCAACAGTGCTTCAAGTTATGAAACAAGTTTGGTGTTTCCAACTTTTAGTGGAAACTTTTTTCTTGTATGTTTTGCAGTGTACTTTGCAAAACATGGAAGGCACAAAGGAGGTGGATGAAGTATGTTCTTTTTTTTTTATTTTTTTTATTTTTTTTTTACAAAATTGTCATCGGAGGCTGATGTGGACTTTTAGCTGTCAGCTGGTAGCTATGTTCTATTGTAATGCTAATGACAGTATCCGGATACGAAATTATCGCATTTAACTACTGCTGTTAGTTTCTTTGAATCCAAATCTGCACTTGTTTTATTTATTCATTTATTTTTTATTATTACTATATTGTGGTGCACAGCAGGGAGGATGATGGCAGACGAGCTATATGTCAGAGCTAGATCATGTGGGTAATTTTTGTAAAGACTAACTGTAATAATAATAATAATGGCATTTTAAATAGCAGGGGAAATCTAATTTGAGACATCTTGTACTGCTTTTGGCATCCTCGAGGCATTTTTCTCATTTTCAGAAAAATTTCTGTATGGCTCACATAATTACCCAATTTTGTGTGGTTTTGCTAAGATAAAACCATATCAGAAAGCCGCCATTAGTAATATTGACAAAAATATAACGGCATAACAGAAGTGTGTGTATTGTACATATTTTTCCCCCCTGTAGGAACTTGGTCAGATTTCTCTTGAAGTGAAAGAAAAACATTTAGATTTTTTCAAAGTTCAAGGTCCCTTTGACCTTGCAAAACCTAATGGATCGTTCTGAAGAGGTCATTATATTTAAATGTAGTACTGTAATAGGATGACATCGTTACAACAAGTCAGTTTGTGAAACTTCTTCCTACTTATATAATTCACGATCAACTATTAGTCGTATTATTAAAAAGTGAGAGCGTTTAGGAACAACAAAAACTCATCTATGAAGTGGCAGACTGCTTCATAACTGCAATGCAGTACTCTAGTTTTTCGTAGTAGATTACTTAAAATATTGCAATATCAGAAATGTGAATAGATAAATATTTTAATGGTATTCTTATCGGTATTGTGACCAAGTACTTTACCTGTACTCTAACTCGGCGGTCCCCAACCCCCGGGCCTCGGACCGGTACCGGTCCGTGAGTCGTTTGGTTCCGGGCTGCGAGAGTTGAGGCTCAGGTGTGAAATGTATGGTTTTCAGGGTTTTTATCGGTTTTCAGCGTTACTTTGTTATCGTTTTTATCTTTTAACTAAGTTTTCCTGGGTCTTTTCACGTGTGTTATGAATAAATCTTCTGTTTTTTTCG